TCAGTTTTAACCGACAATAACCACCAATAGAATGAGGCTCGAGAACCCAAAACACAACTTCACTTCGCTTGCCATAAACTAACCCACAAAGGATCAAGATGGAGATAGTGATATCACAAAGGGAGGATGAAGAAGGAAGCAATGATTGGACACAGTTTCTTCCAAGACGTCTGCTTTTTCTTACACCTTGCACACACTCACATAACGGCTACAGGCAAAGATGGATGGATAAATAGTCCTAGGTTAAGTTACCACAAGTTGGGCCAAGAATATTAAGTAATTGGACCAAAAAGAAGGAATCAAGACAAAGCACAAATGGGCCAACACAATTGGGCTATCCTCAAGAGAATTGGGCTATAAACAACCTTAATTAATTAAGCTACTTCTAATGACCCAAGTTATTTCCAGTCAAACGAATCACTATAGTGTCAATATAGTTATCCTAATAACGTTTTAACATCATCGTTCGAATTTATTTTGTATCAAAATCCAACAAATCTTCACCTATTACCCAAACATATTTGTATTCACATATTTGTACAAAATGTTTTATTCACTCTCACATACACTTGAGCCCCACATAAAATAAAAAATGCCAACATGTGGCCCCCACCCTCCCATTGTGAGTGTAAGTAAACCATTTTGTACAAAAGTATATGTACATCTAACACTTTCTAACCAATAAACCTATAAGCAAACAACACAAAGTTTATATTTGCATAATCAATATAACCAAATACAATTGGAATCGCGGATCTTACCTTGGGATAGAGATTTTCGTCTCTAATTATAAAAAAATGCTTGAATGAATGAGGGGTCTCTTTTATATGTATGCAGTGAGATAATTATGTTTTTCATATCGTAGGCCTTTACATTTTCGTGGTTTATATAATGCGATTTATAGTAATCCTAAGTCCATTGTTGCAAAGGTGCGATTTTAAGTCTTAAGAACCAATAGAAAATGAAAATTTGCCATTACATAATCGTATAAGACGAGGAGAAAGTTTAGACCTTATCATCAACATTCATATGTTTTTTAGTTATATATGAAGATATTTAGTAACTTTTGATTCATCTCTATCCAATACCCTAGATTTTGCATCTCGCTGTAAGTGACCAATTCAAATATAAATATATGCATCCACATGAAGACAAATAAGAACAAAAAGGATTGCGAAAGACTTCTCAAACGATTATCGAAAAAACTTGAGTTTTCTCCTAAAATGAGAACATAGATGGTCATGATAGACATTCTATGCTAACGAACGATTATTGTGAAGGATTCTGCTATAGGAATACGGGGGTTGACCTCCGCCCTGATCGAACCCCACAAATAGGGGGTAGTGACGGCAAAAAAATCCGTCTCGTTGTATTTTATTTTCTAATAATAGCACAATTTGAAATTTTATTTTCAAATAATAGTATAATTCGAAATTTTCAAAATGTAAAAAAATAAAAAAAATAAACAGTGCAATAAATGGAGCAAGCCGTCGCCCCATCTATGGTGGAGCGCCTCCGCTCCGCTGCCATCCCTAATAGGGGGGAGGTCCCATTTTTTTTTTGTGGACCCCACCCCCATTTGTGGGGCTTCTGTCAGGGAAGCGGACTGCCTCCCTGTTAGGCTTTGTTCTATTATGAAAATGAGACTGTCGCTCCCAGATAAATAACTTGGTATGCCACGTCAATATATATCTGGTATCTTTTTAATAAATTAAAGTATTCATTTCATTTCAAGAGAAAAGACAAATGGGCTTGGAACGCAAAGCCCACATCCAACATCCAAGCCCAAAGGTACCGAGTTATGACTTGTTGCTACACTTGTCATGAGTCTAAAAGTTCAAAAACTATAACAATAATGTTTTTGGCATGAAAAATAAAATTAATAGACACATTTCAATGTAACAAAAAATAAAAGTTGAATTTCGAAAAATATGATCTTGTAAGTCTACTTATTAACATTTGATTGTTAGTTAGTCGATTGCTTTTTAATATTGACGTCAAATCTTTGTGTAAAATGGTGTAAAATTGTGGCAAAGTGTTATTAAATTTATAGTTTAAGACTTTGGTAGTTTAGTAGTGAAGTCATACCTTCGTAATTAAAAGGACGTAATTACAAGAGTGGATAACACGCCAAACTCTAATATTTATAAGATCATCAGTAACATGTTATTGAATTTTTGTTTGCTGTTTGTTAAGTTGGTCTTCTTCTTTGTCTGAATTATTGTGCGTAGCTTCTTAGTATGTGTTACTTTGTACCAGACTAGGTTCACCCTTAATCATTGCAAAGCACCACAAGAACTCAAAACTCTGTCAACTCAATCTTAATTGGTGTCTTTAAATAGAAAATATCGATATTAATGGTTATAAAAAACTAAAAGAGTGGTCGATAATTTTTCTTTATACTAATTGAAAACAAATGCTATGATAAGCACACTTTGTTTTTTTTCACCTTCAGAGTTATGTTTTGTGACACATCAAGTTATGAGTTGCTTACGTGCTCCATACACAATAATATTGTCCTGATTATAACCACAATAACATGGTAATATTTATCTTATTATGTAATAACATTAATGAAATAGGGGATTAATAGGTAGAGTTGAATTAATTGAAGATTGTCTTTTTGTATCTTATTGTTAACTATAAATAAAAATGATAAAAAAAATTCTAATAAATCCAAACTTGCAGGATATAAATTATAAAACTATTGGCTTGATGAAATCAAAGGGCGCCAGCCGCCCACAGTCTAATGCAAAAACACCGCAAAGGAAAACCCAAAAACCATTGATTTTTTCCATATTTTTTGCCTTATAATTACACTTTTTTATTCGGAAAACTAGGAAAATTAAATAAAGTGAAAGTACGAAATCCTGGAAACCGGGAGGTGGGGGTCGTGTTGGGCCGAGAGCCGTGATGGGGTGGTGTTGCTTTTCGTGACTGTATGCGGGTGGTCGCACGGTGTTCAGGGTTGGTTCACGTGAACATCACGCGCCACCTTTCAGCCTCAATTTTTGAATGGAATCTCTTCATGAATCTCCCACCTCAATCTGTACGATTTTAAAATTATATGGAAACTTTGACTTGTTATTTTATGTTCATTTTTTATTTTTTACTTTTTGTGTATAGTGTATTTTTTTTATTTTTAGTTTTGATAATATGTCTAATGCTTCGCAATGACGTGTCATTTATAATTCAAAGGTTACATTTACATAAAAGAATTATAAACATGTTTATCAATTTTCTCGATGCTTATATATGGTACAAAATACATCCTTAATAATATATTTCGTTATAAGGATATTCAAATTTCATTTATTTTGTCACAATTGTTTCCCTTTCAATAATTTTAAAAGCTTAAAATTGATAAATGAACTTTAAATAAGAAGGAAAAGTAAAAATAATGGTTCTTTGAACACCTACTTCTCGAATAAGTATGAAGCTCACTTTAAAAATGAAAACAAAAAGGAGGAAACTTAAATATCGAAAAAGTTGGCTCTAAAAAATGTAAAAAAGAAGAAAACTTTTAAAACTATCGAGTTGATTTTTATGAAGAGTCCAAATTCAAATATAGGATATAATCATGTTACAATTAATATTAGAGTCTTGCAATTTCAGATATCAATTTAGTTGAGTATGACACGAAATTGAAAATGTAATCCATTATGTTAAGTCCTTTTTTAGCCTTTTTTGAGTTTCTTTTAAGTTGTTAAAATTATAATTTAGGGAAAGATGAACAGTGGATAAGTAGTACTCATGGATAATATAAAATACATTCTTAACATTAATGTTCGCATTTAAAAATTACTTTTTAATAAATAAAAAGAGAACCCAAACAAAGACTAAAAATAAGCCAAATTTTATAATTTGCAATGAACGAGCAGTACATTCTTGAATTATTAAATTAATTGCACTTGCAACTTGAATAGGATTCCACAATTAACTCGATATCTTGTAGAATTAACTCAGTGCACTTCTCCTCTTGAATTATTTTAAAATTCTTTCCAACCGCACTTTGCCAAAATTCTAGACTTTATTACATAAACAATATTTTGTGTTATAAGTAATTAAAAAGTAACTTTTCCTTAGAACTCGTGTGCAACATGTGGATATTGTCTACAGTGACTAAATTGATAAATTAATATTTATTAAAAATATTAATTAGTATTTTTGCATTACGAATAGACATATCAAATTGTAGACAATTAACAACCTCTATTTAAAGAAAATTAGATGGTTTTTTCTTATAATAGTTTCTATTTTTTACAATTTTAGGACTTCTAATATTTTAGTATAGATTCGTCCACAACAAATCTGTTTCCACCCTAAACTGCTGGCAAAAATGCAAATTCTTTAATCTAGTAGGCAAATTTTGAATACGAAAAGGTCCTAAAGAAGGGTGATTATATTGATTACACAATTTTTATAATTGTTCTATTATTAATATATTAATGGTTCTCAATCTTTTATTTATTATCATAGTATATTTCGACTTTTTTTTTATATCAGATTTTTATCCTTAACATTTCCTTATTTGACACATTTTGTTCTCATGATGATTTTCGTCTGTAAAATATATTAAATAACATAGGATAAAAAGAAATAAGCAAAAAGAAATAGAAAATAAGTATTAGATATTTATCCCTTACTTGAAATCACAAACAAAATTTTTGAACAAGAAAATATTAATTAATTGAAAGTTAAATGTAAAAATGCGATGAAGAAATATTGAACAAGAATATGACAATGAACATAGATTAAAAACTTTTAATACAATTAAAATATAACATATTTATAAAGAATTCTGGTGTTAAAATAGTTAGGGTTTAGTAATAAAGTATGCAAGAATGCACCTAGTTAAGGTTACAAACTTTGCAAGTGCATTTTTCTCCCTACTGTCCAAACGGCGGTGTCCACATTACATCATATTCCCATTCACACAACACTATACACGTTCATTGCGTGTATCCCTCTCCATCTATAAAAGACCATTACTCCCCCCTTCCCCTTCTTCTTCTTCATCTCCATTTTCTCTCTTTCTCTGTCTAGAATATCATGAGAATGAGTTGCAATGGCTGCAGAGTCCTTCGCAAAGGTTGCAGTGGTGACTGCACTCTCAGGCCTTGCCTTCAATGGATCAAATCCCCTGAATCCCAAGCCAACGCTACTCTCTTCCTTGCCAAATTCTACGGCCGCGCCGGACTTATTAATCTCATCAATTCCAGCCCTGATAATCTCCGCCCAGGTAAATATACATAAAACCCACAAAAAACGCGAATTATATGTGTGTGTGAGTGTGTTGTGTGCTGAAATTTTGTTAATTGGTTATGTGCAGCGGTTTTTAGGTCTCTGTTGTATGAAGCCTGTGGGAGGATCATCAATCCGATATATGGATCGGTGGGATTGATGTGGTCGGGAAATTGGCAGCAGTGCCAGGCGGCGGTGGAGGCGGTGCTTAAAGGTGCTCCGCTCATGCAAGTTTCTAATACTGAAGGGACCAGTGCTACACAGGCACGGTCCATCATGCCTCTTCAGGGCGGTGACATCCGCCACCTCTCAAAGAACTCCGCCGCCGAAGCCATCAATAGCATCAGGACCCGCAAACGCTCCGCCCTGCAAATGAAGAATCCCCTGCACGCGGTGGCCGCCGCCGCCGAGTTGATGAATGAGTCAGAAGAGAAATTTACCATCACGGGATGGGATTGCGCTGAAGATTACAAAGCTTTTGAGGATCAGTTGACGAGAGCCCCTAGTCACGACTCCTACTCCGTTGAAACAGTGGAACCCTCGTTGCTGAACCAGGGTACGGGCTTTAAACCGGAGCCCGCTCACAATGAAAACGATGATATTGGATTGGAGTTGACTCTGGGGTTCAATCCGGTGCTCCGCAATCATCTGTCCACAGTGATAGAGCTCTCTGATAGTGAAGTCTGATAAGAAAAAATCACAGTTTTGGCAACTTTAGAGAAGTCTACTCTTTAGGGTATAATGTCCTTTTCCATTTTTTTTCTTAATGGTTTAGAGCTTACTTTCAGATCTTCCATTTCAGTATTTCTTTTTCTTTTATTGAAATAGAGAAGTAATATTTTGTATATGTGTATGTTACCAACTTGTCATTTCATCTTCTTTTTATGATTTCTATATACCATGAACAAATCAACACACAGTGCATAAATTTCGTCTCCAACATTTTTGCTATGGAATTAAAGAAATGCTGAACCATTTTCCAATATTTTGGTCACTAATTTGTTGATATGATGATAAAATGAATTTAAAAATAATAAATATAGAGAACATGCCAAATACAGATTTGAACAGAAATGAGGATTCCAATCTGTTTGGCGGAAAAGGGTGAAATAGGTGAGGTGAGAGCACAGAGAAATGTTGGCAGTCTGATTGCGGCTTCTTTCGACACATGCCGGTCATGCAAGAAGCCATGGAGAGTGATTTTTCCTTTTTCTTTTCAAAAATTATATAGCTATTTTATTAAGGGTGATGCTACAGTACATTAGGATGTCCATATTAGTGTATATCCTCTCACATGGGAGACGTTAGGGACGGACCCAAATGACTTGGGTTAAAGGGTCAAAAATAAAATTGATACGCTATCTTCTAAAAAAAAAAAAAAAGAGCTAAACAAAAATTTTTCCCCTCCAAAATCTAGAGGGTCAATTGACCCTATAATCCCTCCCTCAATTCCCTCCCTGGGAGGGGACCCATTTCAAATAAAATACAATCTATTCGAAGTGGGTCTCCCTTCATGTAAGAGTATGAACATCGATATGGACACCGCATTATATACGAGTAATATATTTCTTTTATTAATAACAAAATTTAAAACAAATTACTGACTTAAGAGGGGTTCCGTCTATCATTCAGCGAAATGGTCAATGAAAGCTTAAGTCATCTGTTCCTCATGGGGTGGTCGAGTTAGTGGAGTAGGTGAGAGTGAAGATCTTTGATCACGAATTCGATTCCTCCTACCAATACTTTATCGGTCGATCTATCGCACAGGACTTGCCTAATGCGGTTTATTTAGTTGGCATGGTTTGCAAGCTATTACGTCAGTTCGAG